CTCAAGGTGTTCCCCATGGACCACCTAGGAGAAGACCTTCTGTCTTATTTTAAAAACCAAAGGACACAGTAAGCGCCAAGAGACACAAAAACTGCCGTGAGACAGTATAGTCGGAGCTCCTCCTCACCCCACTACTAGCTTCGGACTGAAGGCTGCTGGCCCTGGCTGATGCCTATCACCCACAAAGCCTCCTATGTCACCTAGTTACCAGGAAACAACCAAGTCAGGCTAGTGGCTCACAAAGCCATGCACTGCAACCCCACCCAAATGTCATAATGCCCGTCCCTGATGCTGCCCACCTTGTGGCCACCCTGCCCCTCTGTGGTGACTGCATTATTCATCCTGGGCTGCCTGAGCTTTCCAGTCCTGAGAAAAGTGCAGGGGGGTTTTATTGGAAGTCACCTGTGGCAACGAACTCAATATAAAACCCTGGTTACAGCAGGGTGTGGTGGCTCACACCTGTAATCCCAGTAATTTGGGAGACTGTGATGGGTGGATCACCTGAGGTCAGGAGTTCAAGACCAGCCTGGCCAACATGGTGAAACCCCAGTCTCTGCTAAAAGTACAAAAATTAGCCTAGCATGGTGACGAGCCCTGTAATCCCATCTACTCGGGAGGCTGAAGTAGAAGAATTACGTGAACCAGGGAGGCGGAGGTTGCAGTGAGCTGAGACTGAGCCATTGCACTCCAGCCTGGGTGACAGAGAGAGATTCTGTCTTAAATAAGTAAATAAATAAATAAAAATTTAAAAGGCTAGGCACAGTAGTTCATGCCTATATTCCCAGCACTTAGGGAGGTCCAGGCAGGCAGATCACCTGAGGTCGGGAGTTTTAGACCAGCCTGACAACATGGAGAAACCCCGTCTCTACTAAAAATACAAAATTAGTTGGGTGTGGTGGCACATGCCTGTAATCCCAGCTCTTCGGGAGGCTGAGGCAGGAGAATTGCTTGAACTTAGGAGATGGAGGTTGCAGTGGGCCAAGATGGCGCCAGTGCACTCCAGCTCGGGCAACAGAGCAAGACTCTGTCTCAATAAAAAAGAAAAAAAAAAAAAAAAGAAGAAGAAGAAAGGAGACTTGGGTAAGAGGGTGATTTAAGTGGCATTAAGTAAAGCCTGAAAATCTGAGGAGTGAGAGTCAAGGTACCTGAATGTTCATCACAAACAGCTGATTTCAGGTGAGTTTCATCAGAATGAGGATGGCGTCTGCTTCTCATTTCTGTAGCGGCCGCACCTAGCACAGTACCTGGTCTGTAATCCCAGTAGGTAATCAATACCTAATACCGCAATAAACAGAGTAAAATTCTGCCGGTTCAGTATTTTCATACCCACCAACTTCCCTCGTGGAATGTTACTTCTTTTGCTTACTGTAATGTGTTTGAACTTCATCCCTACCTAGATTTTTTTTCCTTTGTATGACTGAGCAGCACTCCACGGTACTGTTCTACCACGTGGGTCTATCCATTCTCTAGCTGATGGACCACTGGGTTGTTTCCACTCGTTGGCTGTAGCGAATGAGACTGCTGGGAACATTTATGTATATGTCTTTTTTTTTTTTTTTTTTATGAGACCAGATCTTGTTCTGTCGCCCAGGCTGGAGTGCAGTGGCGCGATCTCAGCTCACTGCAACCTCTGCCTCCAGGGTTCAAGCGATTCACCTGCCTGAGCCTCCTGAGTAGCTGGGATGCAGGGGCCCACCACCACATGCAGCTTTTTTATATATTTGGTAGAGTCAGAGTTTCCCCATGTTGGCCAGGCTGATCTGGAACTCCTGACCTCAAGTGATCTGCCTGCCTTGGCCTCCCGAAGTGCCGGGATTACAGGCGTGAGCCACCTCGCCCAGCCGGGGACACGTTTTTTGTTGTTGTTTGTTTTGTTTTTTTGAGACCGAGTCTCGCTCTGTGGCCCAGCCTGGAGTGCAGTGGCGCGATCTTGGCTCACTGCAACCTCTGCCTCCCCTGTTGTTCAAGAGATTCTCTTGCCTCAGCCTCCCGAGTTGCTGGGACTACAGGTGTGTGCCACCATGACCGACTAATTTTTTGTATTTTAGTAGAGACGGAATTTCACCATTTTAGCCAGGATGGTCTCGATTGCCTGACCTCATGATCCACCCTCCTCCGCCCTGCAACGTGCTGGGATTACATGCGTGAGCCACTGTGACCGGCCCTCAACGTCTTTTTTGAACACATGCTTTTATTTCTTCTGGATAAATTTCTAGGGCTGGGATTCCTAGGTCAAATGGCTAATTTATGCTTAAGTTCCTTTTTTGATCTTTCTTATGAATAGAAAATATGGCCGGGCGCGGTGGCTCAAGCCTGTAATCCCAGCACTTTGGGAGGCCGAGGCGGGTGGATCACGAGGTCAAGAAATTGAGACCATCCTGGTCAACATGGTGAAACCCCATCTCTACTAAAAATACAAAAATTAGCTGGGCATCATGGCAAACGCCTGTAGTCCCAGCTACTCGGGAGGCTAAGGCAGGAGAATCGCCTGAACCCAGGAGGCGGAGGTTGCGGTGAGCCGAGATCGCGCCATTGCACTCCAGCCTGGGTAACAAGAGCGAAACTCCGTCTCAAAAACAAAAAAAAAAAAAAAGAAAGAGGAAAAAAAGAAAATATACTGATACATAATATTGGACCTATCTATGAGACGTGTGATGTTTGGTTCAGCACATCCATCACGTCATCATCAAGTCAGGGTATTTGGGGTATGGCCTTGAGTATTCACCATTTCTATGTGTCGAGTATATTTCAAGTCCTCTCTTGTAGCCTGTTTTGAAATATACTTTGGGAGGCCAAGGCCAGGAGGAAGCGAGGAAGGAAGGAAACATACATGAGAGGCCTGGAAGAGGCTCAGGCCACTTGCGAAAGACGGGCTCTGAGCTCCCCAGGAACCAGTGCGAATACATCGTTGCTAACCACAGTCACTCTGCTGTCCAGCAGCAGACCACGTTTGTTGAATCTGTGAGGATTCATTGACCAACCTCTGTGCGTTCCCTTCTCATGCCTGGAGAAGGAGAGAGGAAGGAGGGACAGAAGCTGTGGTTGGCTGAGTGAGGACCTCCCAGGGAGGCCTGTGTCACCTGTCCCTGTGCTGTGTTGTGTGGTCACAGGGACCTTGCGGATGTGACGGTGTTAAGGAGCCTGAGGTGGAAGATGATCCTGGGTTATCTGCATGGGTCCGAGGTGGGGTTTTTAGAAGGGAAAGAGGGAGGCAGGGGGGTCAGAGTGAGAGAAGGTGTGGGGGTGGAGGCAAAGACAGGGAGAGAAGGAGGGAAGATGAGAGAAGACGGTGGCAGGGGAGGGGAGAGAGAGAGGGTGGGAGAGAGATTTGAAGAGGCTGCTCTGGCGTTGAAGTTGGAGGAAGGGGCCAGAAGCCCGGGGCGTCCCCTGGAAGCGGAAAACATCCTGGAAGCGGATTTTCACCAGCGCCCTCAGAACGAGCCCGCCCTGCTGCGCCCTGATTTTAGCACTCTAGGATTCATTTTGGGCTTCTGACCTTCAGACCTGGGAGAGAATCAGTGTGGGATGTTTTAAGCCACTAACTTAGGGGTGATTTGTGACAGCAGCCACCGGAAAGTCAAAGAGGAGCCCTGGGAGAGACTCCCCAGGATGCCTGGAGGACCCTCCCTGGCTCCACCCACGGAGACACAGGCCTGACCACTGCTGGTGCCCCCGCCCCTCTGACCCTCTGCTGAGCAGGAACCACGCAGGAGGGGCTGGGCCGTGTTCTCTCCCCCGCATCCTTCCCTCAGAGAGCAGCTGGAACCCCAGACCCAGGGAGCCTCACAGAGAAAGTCTCAATGCAGGACCTGGTTTTCCACCCGAGGCCCAGGATCCAATGGAGAAATGTTTCCCAAAAAGGATGCTTCCCCCAGGGAAGAGCCCTCACAGCAGGGCTAGGTTGGGGGTGGGGAGGGGAGGGACAGCGGGGGGTCGGGGGGAGGGGAGGATGTGGAGGGATAACACCAGGAGAAATGCCTGATGTAGGGGCCGGTGCAGGGGATGGAGGCAGCAAACCACCATGGCACGTATGCACCTATGCGGTAATCCTGCAGGATGCAGATGTGCACATGTACCCCAGAGCCCAAAGTGCAATTAAAAAAAAAAAAAAAAAGGATGCTTCCTCCAAAGATGGCCAGTGACAGTGACATTCTGTACCAAGCATCTGAGAAAATCTCCATGTCCTAGGGCTGCCAGGCAGATACCTGTGCACACGTTGGAGCCAAAATCCCATCGATAGTGAGGCGTTGGGTAAAACACATCCCCACTTTTAATTATGATGAGATGCCTGGCCTCAGCCCTCAGCATGGAGAACACCAACTTCCTTTGAGCAAAGACTTGTTTAACCTCTTAGAAATGATGGAGCACCTATTACCCTTCTTGCACTGGTTCCTGGGTAGCTCAGAGCCTATCTTTTTACAAGTGTCCTGAGCCTCTGGTAGGCCTTTCATGTGTGTTTTCTTCCTGGCTTCCTCCTATTTTTCTCACACCTCTGAACCTGCTGTCAGGTGAAAAATCAAGGTGGGCCCAGAATTTCAGAGCTCGGGAATCTGATGGTGTTTGGAGTGTCCTGGACAGTCGAGCTCTCAGTGGTGGGGAGTCGGGCAGAAAGGAAGGAGAACATTCCAGGGGCCAGGGCCAGAAGCAGACGGGCTCCAGGCCCAGAGTTGGATTTCTAGGCTCAGGAAAGAGAGGCCGTGGGTGGGTAGAGGGTCCAGAGGGCGTATCTGGAGTCTCAACCAGAAATAGCTCCCTCCAGAAAGCAGGCATCGAGTCGGGGGTTGAGCTGCAAAGAGGAAGGGGAGGAGGGAGAGAATGGAGGGACTGGTGTCGCGTGAGCACTCCTATCCTGGCCCGTTTCCCCAGGAGACACCCCTTGGAGGCTGTGACCCTCTCCCCCAGCCTACTTTCCCACTGGTGCCAGGATGCCCCCAGCGCCACACTGAGAATCCAGGAGAAGCATCAGATTATATGAGAGATAAGAAACGCAGAGAGCAGGCTTTCTGGATGACGAAGAGCATATTTACTGAGGGTTTACTGGGTACAGGAAGAAGCGTGGACGGCTTGGGATGCAGGGAGAGACCCCTCCCCTGGGAACGTGCAGCTCCACGCCCCTGTGGGTGGGGTGAGGGGTGGGGGCCTAAGGACATCCTTCAGTGGCCACTCTCTTCTCCACGGTTTTCCCCTCGTGCGTGACGTGGCAGCTGTAGCTGCTGCGAGACTTCCACTGCTCGGGCGTGAGGCTCAGGTAGCTGCTGGCCTCGTACTTGTTGCTGCTCTGTTTGGAGGGTGTGGTGGTCTCCACTCCCTGGGTGATGGGGGAGCCATCTGCCTTCCAGGCCACCGTCAAGATTCCTGGATAGAAGTCATTCATGAGACACACCAGTGTGGCCTTGTTGGCTTGGAGCTCCTCAGAGGAGGGCGGGAACAGAGTGACCAGGGGGGCGGCCTTGGGCTGACCTGTGTGGACAGAGCGGGGTGAGAGAGGGCAGAGGGAGTGTGGGGCGTCCTGAAGTGCATCTCTCCATCTAAAGTCTCTGGGAGGGTTCATGGTGGGGCCGTCGGGTCCACCCTGGGCCTCTCCTTCCCTCCTTATCCCCCCACCCCTTTCCACTGGAGCCCTCTGGAGAGCAGACAGCCCTGTACCTTCCCAGGAGCCCTTCCCAAGTCTCCTTTCCCTGGTGCCCTGGCCCAGCCCTCCCTCTGCAGCCTCGGATTCCCCATGTGTACTCAGGGCAGGCTGCTCCCTCCTTCCTGGCTTCTGGAGTCTGAGTTTGGATTCTAGGGGTCCCTCCCACAGCACACAAAACCATTTGTCAGGGTGTGGGGAGGCCCAAGCCTGGCATGGCCTGGAGCTTCCCGTCCCCTGGGACACCAGGCTGTGCCCCAGCCTGGCCCACTCAGCTCTGCTGGTGAAGCGTGGGCTCCACACACATGCTCTGGGGCTCTGCCGTCTCCCTGTCCCCACCAGCCTGACCACAGGACCCTTCACGTCGGCTATGTTCTTGGGGCTGCTCCCCCAGAGTTTGGGGCACTGCAGCCCCCCTGCCCACCCCAGCAGCTTCTGATGCCCCTGGACTTTGCCTGGCGGCCGTGGAGCTCTCTACACCCCGTTTACACCCCCTCGTTCCCTCCTGGTTCTAAAGTGCCCTTCCTCAAATGAAGGTGGGAGGCTGACCCGTGAACAGAGAGACTCTGGGTCCCCAGGGTGACGGGGCTCCAGAGACGGACACATCTCTGCCCTGAGACCCTCTCCTTTCTGGTGACCGTCCTTGGAGGGCTGGGCTCTGGGACCTCACCCAGTCTCATTCGTCCCTCTGTGTCCCCGTGTCCTCATGACCCAGCACAGGCCAGAGAGCTGCAGCTCAGACCCAGAGCCCTCTCTGTGCCCTTCATTGGTCTCCCCTTGGGGTGACCTCTGTGTCCCCAGGCCCCTGTGTGGCCTTCACAGGCTAGATGGGCATCCAGCCCTCAGCCTAGACCCTGAGGTCCCAGGGACTGTCTCTAAGGCCACTACAGGGCCCTTATTAGAACTGGCCTCCCTCCCTCACTCAGACCTCTGGCCTGGAAGAGGGGAAGGAGCTCTGACCCTGCCTAATCCCAGCCCAGGCCCCGCGACCAGGCTGCATCTCACTGTCGGAAACTGAAAGCAGCTGCTCCCACTGTGGGGCCCTTCCCGCCAGTTACCCCGAGACTAGCCTACTTCCTCCAGACCCCATGGAGAAACCAAGGGTTCAGTGCTTAAGGCTGGGAGGGCAGAGGGGAAGAAGCCCCAGAGAGAGAGCACAGATTTTCCAGAGACAGCAGAGGGTGGGACAGGCCGGGGAGGGTTGAGAGCCACTTACCTAAAACGCTGAGCTGGGTCCCGCTGCCAAACACGTGCCTCAGTGAATTCTGCTTGGATTGCACATTCCGAGGCCAACACCTGGGGCCAGCCCAGGAGCCGTGCTGGAGCAGGAACCTGCTGGGTGTGAGGGGCACAGTGCTGCCGCGTGCAGGCTGTGACCTGGGCACAGGGCAGGGGGTGGCCAGCCTCCCAGTGTCATCTCTGTGCCTGTCCCCTGTCTGAGGCAGGTGCTGCCCACAGCCTTGGGGTCACCCTAGTGTCTGTTCCCTTCTCTGAAGCCATTGGTGCTGATGGCTGTGCGGTGTGGCTGAGGAGTCCTGACTCAGAGCCTGAGGGCCCTGGCTCGGAACTGCCCAACCTCACTTGGCCTCATTTTAAGGGACTCTGTGTTGCCAGCCAAGCCAGGCTGACTTCCTCCCTGGACCAGGACACTGGGTCATTCCTGACTCAGGAGGAGAGTCCTCTGGAGACGCAGGGCAGTCTCACTTTGTTCATGAAGCCTTTCCCATCTCTCAGATCATTCATTCTGTCTGTCCGTCCATCCGTCTGTCTGTCCATCAATGCATCTGTCCATCCACTCATCTGTGTTTGCATCCATCTATCATCCGTCCATCCATCCATCCATCTGTCCGTCCATCCATAAATCCATTCTGTCTGCCAGGCACTGCTTCATGTGCTGGGGACATGGTGTGGTCCTCCAGGCTCTCACACTCATCTCTCCCACATCTTGGCCAACAAGGCCCCCCTCATGGTCACGTCCAGGGGCCTTCTGCTGGACCTGTGTCTCTGCTGGATGTGGCATGGGACTCGCCCCTCTTTCCAGTGACACTTTGGGGGAAAAGACCCCCCTTTCCTCTTCCCAGGGCATCCATTTCTCCACGGCCCATGCCTGGCTGCTGACTCCCCAGACCCTCATCACAACACCGATCCAACGCATACTTTCTGCTTGGCCTGCTGTCACACACTGCTGTGGACGCCCTCCCCCTTGCTACTCACTAACCCCCTGCTATACTGACTCTAAGCCGACCCTGCTAACTCTCTACTAGCCCACGCGCGTATCTGCTGGAGCCTATCCCATTGCTCCAACCTCCCCCAGCTCAGCTAGCTTCCAACCCTCAATTGTTGGCCTAACTGCTCTGCTCTGCTGACCATGCCCCAGTGGGCTACCTAAACCCTAACATGATCATCAACAGGGAGGGAGACGCAGTCTCCCAAACGACCAACTATCTCATGTGAAGGTCCTCTTCTCCAAAACTATTCAATTTCAATCAACCTCCAGGAGGAAATGATCAAACCCCAAATCAACCTTTTTCCTAATATTTTACCCCAGCCCCCAGCTTCAGTTTATGTGTTTTTTTTTTCTTCCCATATTTCATAAAGCATTCTTACAAATGAAAATGCAACTTACCGAGGATGACCCATCCCTGAGGGTGGGTGCGTGTGCCCTTGCTGGGTACTGGCCTGGGCTCGCTTCTCAATCCTCAGCCAGCCAGGAGCCTGGGAGGTCACTTGGCTTAGTTCCAATCAACATCATGACCTGGGTGCCCGGCCAATCACCCCGCTGCCCATCATCACCATACCCTCTCCTGGAGCTTTCCACACCTCGCCTACCTCACCCACACCAAATACAAAAAAAAAAAAAAAAAACAAAAAGCCTCCAACATGAAATGAAATGTCTGCTTCTCTTCTGCTTACTACTGCGATTCTTAATATACATTCTAGACATTCCTTTTCCTTCTAACCTTGGACAGACCCGTCCTTACTTTGGCCTGGTCACCCCAGTGTCGTCCTATATGTCTTTGAGGAGCTTAGTCTGGCGCTCACATTTAAAGTTTTAGGCTGTGGCGTGGAGGTCACACGATGTGGCAATGAAACCGGTGACCGCTCCCGGTTCAAATAACTGGTAGCCTCATGCAAAATATGCAACAAAACAACCTCTTCACTGCAAATTGCAACCCTCCTCCACGTCCTGCTGAAAAAAAAAAACACCATCATGACTGACTATATTCCATTCCAGGTTTTCTTCTTCTTGTTTTTCTATAGGTGATTCTTATTACGAAACTTCTTCTGAATTGTTCTGTCAGTATAACTCTATCTTGCTCCTACCATTCTGTACCCCCTCACCACTCATCCCTCCGGAGTATAGCTGTAACTCAGCGGGGTATTACACTTACCATTAGCCGATGAGAACACCAACACCCTTACACTTAATTTACAGACTTCGGCTGTAATTTTCTTTCTCTTTTTTTTTTCTTTCACCTTCTTTCCTTTCCTCCCTATTTTTTTTGTTTTTACTTTTTTTTTTTTTTTCTTCTTTTTTGTTATTATTCTATTTGGTTTTCTTTCTTATTATATTGTATTTCATTTAATTTTTTGTATTTTAATCAATATTCTGTGAATTTTTTTTTTTTTTTTTTTTTTTTTTTTTTTTTTTTTTTTGTTTTATTTCTTTTTTTTTCTTTTTTTTTTATTCTTTTTTTTTTTTTTTTTTTTTTTTTTTTTTTTTTTATTTTTTTTTTTTTTTTCTTTTTTTTTTTTTTGTTTTTTTGTGTTTTTTTTTTTTTTTTTTTTTTTTTTTTTTTTTTTTTTTTTTTTTTTTTTTTTTTTTTTTTTTTTTTTTTTTTTTTTTTTTTTTTTTTTTTTTTTTTTTTTTTTTTTTTTTTTTTTTTTTTGTTTTTTTTTTTTTTTTTTTTTGTTTTTTTTTTTTTTTTTTTTTTTTTTTTTTTTTTTTTTTTTTTTTTTTTTTTTTTTTTTTTTTTTTTTTTTTTTTTTTTTTTTTCTTTTTTTTTTTTCCTTTTTTTTTTTTTTTTAATTTTTTTTTGTTATATACTTTATATCTATTTTTTTTTACATCTTTTATGACTTTTTTTTTTTTTTTTTTTTTTTTTTTTTTTTTTTCTTTTTTTTGTCTTTTTTTTTTTTTTTTTTTTTGATTTTTATTTGTTTCTCTTTTTTTTTTTTTTTTTTTTTTTTTTTTTTTTTTTTTTTTTTTTTTTTTTTTTTTTTTTTGAGAGATGTGCTTCCACCGTCCTAACCTCAGCCATAAGAAATGCAACTCCCAGCGCTCCAGGCTGAAGTGTGCAAGCCAAAGCAAGGCTAGAAATCAAAAGCTGGGTTGGCGAATCATTATCTTCCCCCTCTGTACTGGTCTCACCTTGCTTCACGTGCAGCGTCGGCTTCAAACTCACTATGTTGCCAATCCACTCATCGTAACACATTTATGATCTCACTTCTTGTGCAAAACCTGCCTCACCTTCCTGCCCATCCCCTCCGCCACCTTTGGTTCCCCCACCTAGCCATCCAGTTTTCCACCGCAAGCAGGAAAGATTCCAACCAAACCGAGACCCAGAGAGTTGGTTCCATCCTGTCCATTCCTAGCGATTCTCCTCCTCTCTCATCTCCTGTCTCCTTCTCCTCTTGCGTTCATCAGACAATCCAGCTCAGCCTCACGTCACGCCAAGCGTTTAGCGTATCTCCCTTAGCTCTAATGCAGACTTTATGATAATAACAAGATGTGTGACCAAAGAGAAGTAACAAAAGACCACATGGCAGCTCAAAAAAAAAAGAGACCACTGACAAACAAAAGTATGGCTAAAAAAAAAGAGTGTAAGATATGCAGGCTAATTTTTTTTGTATTTTTTTATGGGTATTTAGTAGAGGAAGAGAGAACAGTTTCAATCAAACCTATATACACCACAACTTCAAAAACCGATATTGGCCTGACCGGCCCCACCTCGTGATCTATCTGCCCACGGCTGGTGGATCGGTCGGCCGACTCGGCCTTCCTCCAAAGTTTGATTTAGGCCCTGGAGCCACAAAACTGGGAGCCCTGAGGATCCATGTGAGCCACCACAACACGTAA